CTACATATACACTTGAGCGACTCGCCAAGTTGTACACTGATGAGATTGTGAGACTGCATGGGATCCCGGTTACTATAGTAATGGATAGGCACCCACGGTTCACGTCACGGTTTTGGCCTAAGTTCCCGGAATCAATGGGAACGAAGTTGGGGTTTAGCATAATATTTCATCCTCAAACGGATGGGCAATCTGAACGGGTGATTCAGATTTTGGAGGACATGTTGAGAGCATGTGCCTTGGAGTTCCAGGGAAGCTGGGACAATCAGTTGGCCTTAGTGGAGTTCGTCTATAACAACAGTTATCAGGCGAGTATAGGCATGTCTCCATACGAAGCAATGTATGGGAGGAAATGTCGAACACCTTTTTGCTGGGATTAGAGGTGGACTCGGGTCGGGTGGCCCGACCCGGAACTGGGCCGGGACCAGTACTGTTCTGACCTGGCCCGAACCGGTGGCCCGGTCAGGGACCGGTCCGGGTAGGCCCGGCCTGGTGGTTTTACGGTGCGGGCTCGGGTCCCCCAAATGATGAACCGGCCCGACCCGGCTGGGCCCGGTTTTGGGCCTTTTCTGTGTTTTTTCATTTTTTTATTTTTCTTGGTTAGGCTGGGTGTTTTGGGCCATTTGGGGTGGTTTCGGGGGGTGGGGTGAGGGGGGATTAGGGGATTAATTTGAAAAACAAAAAAAAAAAACAAATAGGAAGTGGCCCGAGGCCCGACCCAAGTCCACCCATAGCTGGGATGAGGTCGCGAGGCTAAGCTCGAGGGCACCGAGCTAGTCGAGATCACTAAAGAGAAGGTAAAGGTTATTCAGGAAAGACTCAAGGCTGCCCAGGATCGGCAGAAGAGCTATGCAGATAAACGTCGGAGGACGTTGGAGTTTGAGGTCGGTGACGAGGTATTTCTGAGGGTACCACCTTGGAAAGGGATCATCAGGTTCCTCAGTCGGGGTAAGCTTAACCCATGCTATATAGGTCCGTTCAAAATCCTTGAAAGGATCGGGGTCATAGCATACCGACTTCAGTTAACTCCGGAGTTAGAAAAGATTCACAACGTATTTCATGTGTCTATGCTCAAGAAGTATGTACGGGACCCGTCACATATTCTTGAGAAACTGCCGATAGAAATACGAGAAGATTTGCACTATGAGGTGCATCGAGTGAAAATCATAGACTGGCAGGTAAAGAAACTAAGAAGCAAGGAAGTGCTTATGGTAAAAGTGCTTTGGAAAAGTGATCGTGTTGAGGAGCAAACTTGGGAAATGGAGAACCTCATGAGGGAGCAGTATCCACTCCTGATTGACTAGACACATGGATTTCGGGGACGAAATTCTAAATAAGTGGGGTGAACTTGTAACACCGTCCCCAAGTGTATTTTACTTTTTAGTAAATAATGTAATAAACCTTGAATGGATGATTTATGAATTTATGTGATTGTAAATTTTTTGTTAGTTCTTTTGCGTGAATAGTAAATTGCACGCGGGGCCCACACCGGGGACGGGGGCCATCCGATATTTTCGAGACCTCATATTATACTCATCTTGGTATAGATAATATGTATATGGTGATGGATATCCTATTTGGGCCGTAGCAAAGACATAGGGTTGACTTGTTGGTCAAACGAGGCCCAACTATCAGTATTGACAATTTATCAGATAACAGCCCGAAAATGAATTTCGAGGACATAAAAATCAAGGTTGGGAAAGGTATATTCATTCTAAGGTTCATTAGTGATTGAGAACATGTGTTATATTTTATTTGACCCGATAAAATAAAATATAATTAAAACATTCCGAAAAATACAACTTTCGGGCAGAATGTACACATCGGGACATAAAGGGATGATCTCCCACATGAGTGGGGGGCACCCCACGAAATTATTTGAGAAAATGGCATGGGATGTGCGGCTGGAGGGATGGGAGGAGTGAGGGAGGGGTTTGACTTGAGGGAAATGGCATCAAAGGACATTTGGGGGCCATATCCCCATTATTATGGATGTAGAAGCCAAAAGGAGTCATATCCTCTCCCCTTAGCCCATATGCTCAACCAACCCATTCAATTTTGAGAGAGAAACTCTGCAAATTCTCATTTCCTCCATTTCCATTCGAACCAAGCTCAAGGGAGGAAAGGAAGGGGGAGAAAAGAGGAGAAGAGGAAGGAAAAAACTAAGCTAAATATAGGTAATGATCTCGTCTATGTTTTCTCCTTCTCTACACATTGAGGAGTGTAGAATGAGGGGTTGGAAGGTAGCTCTAAGTCCAAGAACGGACTTAGAAGCCAAAATGACCGGTTCGCTGGAAGATAACCTTGTTAGTAACTTGTCTAAGGTATTCAAGGAACTTTCACGGAGTTGAAAGGGTCGCCGGAATTGTCGCCGGAGTTCGACGAAGTTCGCCGGAGTTTCGCCGGAGCTAAATCGGGAAGGCTAGAACTTCATAAGCGTCAATAAGGTGAGAAGACGGCTTTATGCTTTATAACTTTTGCGTGAAGCATGAGATTACCTAAAGTAATCAAGGATATGTTCTATGGAATGATTAAAGATAATCAAGTATTTGTTTATGTCATGATTATATATAAAACATAGTTGAAAAGCATGTTATATATGATTGATGATTTAAAATGTGGTAAATTATTATGTATGATGTTCCAGGGATCCAAAAAGGTATTTTGGGATCAAGGACGTCAAGAAGTACATGCGTATAAAATTTCACGTTAATCGGACTTCGTTTGGGCGGTCAAACGGGCGTTGACCGCCAAGTCAAAGGCTATACCCGACTGGATATGGGTAAATACCCGACCGGGTAATAGTTAAAAACAGCCCTAGGGGCTACTGTCTCACTATACCCGACCGGGTATGGTTGGATACCCGACCAGATATTGGGTTATACTCAAAACGGGCAGTTTTTGAGTATGTTAACGTGGGCCGTTTGGGTGAGACCCACCCACGTTGGTTACTAAGGATTACTATATGACTATAGGACTAGGTATTGTCCATAGTTGAAGGAATAAAAGGCTAGCCATATCCAGGTTAGGATTTGGTAGAGATTAGATTGGGGATTGAGTACCCTTGGACGGTAAATGATCCAGAATACTCAGGTGGGGTCGAGTACCCTTGGGCGGTAAATGATCCAGAATACTCAAGGTGGGGCCGAGTACCCTTGGACGGTAAATGATCCATAATACTCCAGGTGGGGTCGAGTACCCTTGGGCGGTAAATGATCCAGAATACTCCAGGTGGGGTTGAGTGCCCTTGGACGGTATATGATCCTAAATACTCCAGGTTGGGTTGCGTGCCTTGGATGGTAAATGATCCTAAAACACTCGGTAGTATGAATCGAAGACAGATTATAGCTTGTGAGCTAGGTGTTAGGGAAAGGGGTGAGATAACTCAGGTAAGAACTTTATCTCTAAAAGACACTTTAAGGTAAATAACCTACGGGTTAAGTATTTTACACGTATATATACAGTATGTATCATGGGGTGGATGAGTTACATCTATATATATGTATCACCCTATTTTTGGGTCTCGTGTCTGAAACATTAGTTATTCTTCATATAGCCTGCTTGTCACTAGTACTTCTATGGAGTACTGACCCCTTCAGGGGCCCTCACATTTTTCAAGTCAATGCTAGAGTCCTACTACCCGCACCTTTGCCTAGGGTGATTGATCAAGGGGGAAGACGTGGTTCGTGCTTCCATTCTTATTTGAAATTTATAAACTGCTCATGGATATTTGAACAATGTTTTTCTTCTAAATTAGTTGGGAGCCTGTGTGCTCATGTTTGCCACGTGTGACTAATTAGCAAACATATTATATTTTCCGCATTTGTTTGATTATGATATTGATGTTGATTGTATGTGTTTACTAATCGGTTTGGCAATAGAATCTATCGGGCGCCTTGTATAATTCAATAGGGATGAACTATTGTTGTTCTTATTGGGTTGTACGGCGGTTGTCTACGTGGCACGGATGCGATCTGGGGCGTGACACGGTTGTTTTTAACGGTTTTGGGTCTATATTTTATTATGTTTATCCGGATCCAGATCCGGACTCGTTTGTATTTTTAATTATCGGGTCCGGTATTGTATATATGATTCCATCTCGTTAAGGAGTCAGACTCGTTTAAAATTTCTTATAAGTAGGTAGACACACACACCAATGCATAAAATGATTAGTTGTAATACTTCAATTAAAAAAATACTAACTATAATATATATATATATATATATATATACACACACACACACACACATACACACATATATACATAATAACACATAGAGTAATTAATTGCAATTCTTCAATTAAAAATATACACACTGATACATACATATTGTATAAGTGATATTGATCGAGACAGTGAGATGCTCTAAAACTAATACTCTTTTTTGCCGCTTATATGTACTGATAAAGTGTGTATTGGGACCGATAGGCAAATCCCAATATCTAATATTAGTAATATTAATACTCTGTATTATTATATCATTATCATATATAATGCTTTTATACTCACAGTAGTCTATTCTACAAGCTTTCCGTGCGAAAACTAATGCTTTATTGGACAAAAGTTCTAATTTTCTATAAGAAATCTTGATTTTTTTAAAATGAAGATATATTTTGTTTTTTAAGTTTGCGCACTTTGTTTAACATTTCATTTACAGGTCATGTTATTTTCACAAACTTTACAAATGTTGTGCATATCATACTTGGCGGGTCTACCCAACCCAGTTCAGAGACCCGTTGGGTCTGGGTCTGAGTCTGGGTCCGGGTCCAAATTTTCAAACCCACCGGGTAAACGGGACAGGTCTGGATCCATTATTAACTTAGCGGGTCCGAGTCTGGAATACTACGTTTCGACCCGGACACGACTCATTGACAGGCCTACGTCTTGCAAAAAGGATTATAAGGTAGATTGAGTATATAATTAGGTTGTTTCAAATTGGACTGATTTTAGTCCTAAACCAGATTTGTCAAAATTTAAATAGATCGAACCAAGTTAAACCACTTATAGTTAAATAGATCATATCATATCAGACCTTATTTCGTCAATTGTAAAATACAAATGGACATAATCTACTATAGTCAAAGATTAATAAGACTTCGAACTCGTGATCATATATTATAAATAGCTCACAATGTTTATTAATGTTTTTCATCTGAACACATATCAAATTAACACTAACGGGGCATGCCCGGTCTTGTGCTACACTAGTGATATGAGTAAAGTAAGAAAGTGGCCGGATTGGTGTGACTCAAGTACTCAATGTGTATGCATATATGCTTGAGTGATGTTGCTATCTCGGCCCTGGATGTGAATTGCATGCAGTAATGATTGGCGGTACAAAGTGAAGACTAATATTGGCTGGGATTGCTTGAGTAGAGGATCCGGAGCAGTGGTCGATACTGTTGGGCTTAGGTTGCCGCCCGTGGTGGAGTTGCAACTTGGTGGTGGAGCGAGTGGTAACATCCTCAACAAAAGCATTAAAGTTTGTGGTGGAGGAACCTGCACCTGAAGGAGCAATTGTTGCTCCTGCATTATTATTATTATCAGTATTGGTGGCGGCGGGGGGCATTGCAAGGGCATCCGCTAAGGTGGCTCTCAACCGTAGGGCAACCTTCTTCAACTCTACATGGTAGCTCTCACTCATAAAAGCGCGAATGTTGTCGGCGATTTGGAGGCGGGCAATGGGAGATGAGGCGCAAAGATTGACCCCGACCTTCCAGTCGTTGACAAGCAGTTTTCGGTTGGAAAACTGGTCGGTGACGAGGGGATAACAGAGCAATGGTATGCCGCACCAGATGCTCTCGAGAATGGAGTTCCAGCCACAGTGGGTCAAGAATCCACGAACAGAGGGATGGGAGAGGACCTCGGGCTGGCGGCACCAAGGCACGACCAAGCCCCGACCGCTCTTTCCGAAGTCGTCGGGCAGGAAATGGGTGGGGAGTGGTCGGTCAGAGCTGACGATATCAGGGCGAAGAACCCAAAGGAAGTGGACCTCGCTGAGGATGAGGCCATGGGCAATCTCTAGGATGTCAGACTCACTGGTGTGGGCGTAGCTACCGAAAGAAACGTATAGGACGGATGCGGGGGGTTTGGAGTCGAGCCAGTGAGAGCAATCAGACTGGAAGAGGAGGCTGGTGGTGATTGGGGTTGTGGGGAACACAGGACCGATGGAGTAGGTGGGTTGAGCTGCATTGAGGGCACATAGAGCATCGGGCTCGAGCTCTTGGACGGTGTTACAAATGATGATGTCTGCTTTCTTGACATCGGCGAAGGCCTTGGAAATGATTCTGTGCATCACCGTCGACGTGTCAGCCGATTGAAGGTATGACATTAGGTCCCTTGGTTCTATTGCCTTCACACCCGGTATGTACTCTATCATGTCCTTTCGTTTCCAAATCCTCTCTGCATTACAAATACATACGTACGGAGTAGTAATTAGTCACGGCCGGGATCCATATACATAGATACACAACATAAAAATGTAAAATTAAACACTCCAGTTGGGTCAAATTTATATTCTTTGGATCATGAAACACAGAAAACAATAAAATGAGAAGAAGTAACATTTTTTTATTAAACTAACTATGTGATAATTCTATTTATTCTTGTCATAAGGATTTCTATTTTAATACGAAGTACAGATAGAAGATGCATGTTCTAGATACACTCTCGAAGGAGTTATAAAAACGTATTTATTTTAATTAAAAGAGGCCAAGTAAATGAGGCATATGAAAGGTTATGTTTCATTCTCATGATGATTTTGAATCTTTGCTTAGGCAAAGCCTTGCTAAAAGCATCAGCTAATTGTTCTTCTGATGAACAACACACCATATCAACTTCACAAGCTCTTTGTGCTTCTCTTACAGCATGAAATTTTATCGTCAAGAGTTTTTTATTGTTTACTAGATTTTTTTCTACAACAATAACTGCTTTACTATCACAAAAGACATCAGTTGCGTTGTGTTTCTTCTCTCCCATGTTTTTAAAGTTCTCCTTTACCTAATTATTTGATTCACAATTTTGTTTGCTATAGTAACGAACATATATATTCTACTTCAATTGTTGAATACTATGAGAATACTCAACTCTTAAGGTAAAATTGTATCCAAATGTACTTTTCATGACATCAATAGATCCACCCCAATCACTGCCAGTAGATCCTATTAGTCTTGAGTTCTTATTTGGCTTGTACCACAAACCAAATTCATTTGTACCTCGAATATACCGCAATTATACTCTTTTTGCAACAACATAATGAATTCACTAGGACTTTACATGAATATAGACGAAAGAGTAGATGCAAACATAAGATCAAGTCTTGACATAGTCAAGTATAATAAACACCCAACAAGACTTCAATAGACTTTCGAATAAACTTTCTTTGCTCAATCCTCTTTAGAAAACTTATCATTAACCACAAGATGGGTCAAGGCTTTCTTGTACTTGTCTATTTTGAATCGTTTTGGGATGGCTTCTACATATTTCTTTTGGGAGACAAAAGTACCATTTGTATTCTATTTCACTTCTAAACCCAAGAATAAATTCAACAAACCTAAGTCGGTCAACCATAACTCTTTTTCAACTTCTTTTTAAATTTATCAGTTATGGCCGGATTATTCCTAGGGACAATCAAGTCATTAACATGAAGGGAAAGAATTATCAAATCTGACTTTGTTTGTTGCGCATACAGTAGTGGTTCACTTGGATTTGTTGGAGTAAATATTCATTAATTCTTCTATACCAAGCTTGTGGATCTTGCTTCAATTCGTAGAGAGTTTCAATAGTTTGTACAACTTATATTCTTGAACTTTAATACAAAAGCTTTCAGGCTCTTTGACATATATTACATTATGAAGGTAACTATTTAAAAATGTAGACTTAACATCCATATGAAAATAACTCATTTGTTCTAAGCAGCCAAAACAATTAAACTTTTATTGTATCATTTCTAGCAAATGGAGCAAAAGTTTCATTACAGTGTGAAACATATTGCCGTGGATACACTTTTACCACAAGACGTGCCTTGTACTTCTGAATGGAACCATCTAGCTTGGACTCTTTTCGGGAGATGCATTTGACTCCAATAACATCTTTATGTTTTTTTCTTTTTGTCAATTTTCAAGCCTTTCTCAATCATTTTTAGCCCCTCCATCGCACTTTGCCACTCTTGTTGTTTTGAATCTTCTATGAAGTTTGTGGGCTCATAAAACTTAGGATACTGAAGTAGGAACATCATCATTGAATAGCCATCACTTCTAGGTGATTCAGTGGTATTTGATCCCCTAGATTAAAATTTGGTTCTTTAGATCCTTCTTCTAGAGGATTCTAAGAAAAAGATACCACTGCTCTCTTCTCCGCTTTGTCTCCATTCAAATCCCATAATGATTTTTCATCAACATCAACATCTCTACTTATCGTTAACTTATGAGTTTTCAGTTTGAAAACTCTAAAACCTTTGGACTAATTGTTATAGCCTAAAAATATGCCCCTATCAGCTGTCTCTTACAACTTGTGCATTTTACCTGATTAAACATGTATGTAGCGCAAAGAGACAAACACCCTTAGGTGTTTAACTGTTGGCTTACGTATTACCTATCCATGCTTCAAAATGTGATATGTCCATGACATTCTTAATTGGAAACCTATCAAGAATATGGGTAGTGCTTCCACCCGGAAATTGTTGGGATGTTGTTTTTTCAATAACAAACATTTTGCCATCTCCATAGTGGTCATGTTTTTTCGTTTAAAACACTATTTTGTTGAGGAGAATAAACAATAGTTATCTGGTGTTTGATACCCTTTTCATAAAAAAAACTAGTCAAATTCATTTGATATATACTCATCGCCCTGTCAAATATGATTTCAATCATTCTTGTTGTACCCACTCTTATACACACCATATACCAATCATGTTTGTGAAGGTTTTTTTGTCTTTGAATCCGGTTCATAGACAAGATATGTCTTATTTTGTCTGTGCAAAATTTGTACAAACATATGTTGTCTGTGAACGGGATTCACAGACAAAAAAAAAGTTTTGCACAAACACGATGGGTATAAAAGTGGGTATGCGGGTGGGTACAAACAGCTTTTTTGATATGATTTTCATCAATTCATAGTTGTTGTGATTCTCAACCATGGGTTTGGATTTCTCAAAAATGATGGGGGCTTAGGACCTCTACCTTAGAAAATAAATACATGTCATTTTTGTATAGTCATATATAAATAAGTACTTTCTATATGCACTCATTCAAGCTTTTTCTTGGCCCTTTATAATTGATTGGACGGAAAAGAATTCATGTGCATTTTCATAATATGACCTTTTCTTTTCTTATGCATGAGATGTAGAGCATGAAAATTGTAGTGACCGAACCTCTTGTGCCAAAGCTAGGACTAATCACGTTCAACTCTACTTGTATTTGTGATATAAAGGCCAATTAAGAGATCGAAAAGGTCTTGTTACTCATTGATCTTGAGTTAATTCCTTCTTCAAAGGGTCATACATGTCACAAGAGTTTCACTCAAATGTTAAGGAATACCTATTTTGCGTCATTTGAGGAATACTAAATAAATTCTTATCAAGATTAGGAACAAGCAAGTCATTTTCAATGCCGCGTGTTCCTTTCTCTATATGAATTGCAATTGTATCTTTTCCTTTAGATGTGATAACAAAACCATCACCCATATTCACTCATATGTTAACTAAAGTATCAACTTCAATGAAAATACCTTGGTTATTTTTTGATGATATGGTTTGTGCAACCACTCTCAATGAGTTATTCATCTTTTGTGATGTGGCTTTCTATGACACTTTACAAGCATAAAAGATGTGTTTCACATCTTGTTGTTTTTTCCGCAACATGATATTGGCTCTTCGATCTTCATACCAAAAGTCTTTTTCTTCATGATTGAATTTCTTATAGCAACCACACCGCGCCTTACCTTGATTACGACAATCTTTTTATGGTGGTTCGTTTTATTGCATACTCTAGAAGAAGAGAACTTTCCTTTCTTTCCATTGCTTCATGTGTGAATGTTCTCATATCCTTTCGTGTGCTCCTTCTTTTGATTGGGCTTTCAAGTCCCTTAACTCGGTTTGTGTCTTGTTTGGAAATCACCCTCTCAATAACCTTCCTCTCTAAGAAAGAATTTCATGTCATGACATTTAATGGGCCCAAATACTTATGATGATTTTAGTTTACTCGTATCATTGAATTCTTGTGACTATCCAAAGCATTTTTCAAGAATGACTTTCCTTTCATGACTATTGCCGCAATGATGAAATTATAGTTTTTAAGAAGGTTAGAATTTCAAAGAGTTTTCTCAACATTACGACTATCTCAAAGATCTTCAAGCATATATCTCTAATGGATTGGTAACACTCATTACCATAGATGAGTAGTCCGTAATTCTTTCATTGTTAGTCATTTTCAAACTCTCGAGTTCTTTTCTTTGATGCTCAAGTATCATGGACCTCATTTTCTCTAAGCCTTGAAACTCCTTCCGAAGAGTATTCCTCAATTATTTTGAGAATAATGCATTGGCAATTCTAGGAGAAAATGTCTCGGAGTGCAAATATGAAGTAGCCATTTCGTCCTTCACCTTCATCTCCTTCAATTGATTTAAGTCGTGAAGTCATATCCTTCTTAAGAAAAGTCTATCCCTTCATCAACAAACTCCCATAAATCTAGGGCTTGCAATAGAGCCTTCATTTTAGTACACTAGAAGTCATAATTTTCTCCTTCAAAAATTGGCGTTGAATGAATTGATGAACAAGTCATATCTAAATAACGATTTTGAGGATTTGTGGATTAGCCACGTAACAGCCTAGGAGGCTCTGATTTCATTTGTTGGATCATAAAAGAGAGAAAACAATACAAAGAGAAGTAGTGACATCAATGGTACACCAATGGAATGTGTGGCAACTCACAAGGGCATTAATTAATGAACTCTATGTAGCTAGCTAGCTAGCACATGCGGCTCAATTAGTGTTAATGTGTATGGACATGCATACTCCCCCCACGTACAATGAAGATATATTAAATAAATTTTAGAATATCCCATGCACGTGTAGACATGTCAAAAAAATCCGACTTGTAAGGACCTGCCCCGAGACATTTATGGCCTGTTTGGATTGAGTGTTAGGGAGTGTTAGTAATGGAAGTGGTAATAAGTGTTGATACTAACACTTGTTTGGTCGAAAAATTAAGAGGGTTTAAGAAGTGTTAGTAAATGTTAGGAAGTGTTAATAATAACTTTCCCAACATCTGAATTGTCCACTTTTTTAACACCCCGATTTGGAGTGTTTTGAGGTGTTGGACAATTATTACCCTTCTTATTTACCCTAAAAACATAAAATGCTTCGACATCTCACTTCGAATCTCTTTGACGCGTGTCTGATGGTCTGCCTTTTTCATCTCTTCTCCTTACTCGTTTCTTCTGGCTAAAGGTAAATTATTAACACTTCCATTATTAACACTTCGTTCATTTGACTCTCCCAAACAAGGTAAAATTATGTCTAACACTTACACTTCCCTTCCCTTATAGGCCCTTACTAACACTTACTAACACTTCCATTACTAACACTCCCTAACACTCAATCCAAACAGGCCATTAGAGCGGACCCGGCCCGCCCCATCCATGTGCACATGATGGGACGAGTCTGTTATTAGTATTGACCCGCATTACCCTGTTGTGACCCATCCAATATATAACTATGCGTTGTTTTTTAAATTATTTTATAGATGCACACACACATGTATATATATACACCTACATACATACGTACATATGTACGTATGTATGTACGTATGTACAAGAAGCTTAGAGCCCCACACATCGTTAATGCGGTAGTTGATTGATTACCAATGCTTTGCATATATATATGTGCACCACACCATCACCCTACCTAATTGCTTCTTTATATATATATATATATATATATATATATATATATATATATATGGATAGATCCCAAAAGAAATTAACTAATTACATTTATTTAATTTTGTCCATTTATGCTAATAAAGCTACCTCCTTTTGTATTAAAAATTAGGCTACGTAAAAGCATTTATATTTGCACCACACCATCACCCTACCTAATTGCTTCTTTGTATATATATGGATAGATCCCAAAAGAAATTAACTAATTACATTCATTTATTTTTGTCCATTTATGCTAATAAAGCTACCTCTTTTTGTATTAAAAAAATTAGGCTACGTAAAATTAACTATAGCTCCCTATTCACAGTGTCCTGCGGAAATTAAATGAGTTAGGGCTGTTTGAACTGAAGCAAATCACCATCAGTTTTTGAGAATCTCATCCTCTAATAATTTCTAAAGAAAACTATTTATGTGAGCAACTTGGAGCACTTTGAAGTACTTCTACACATTCATTCAAACACTCAAATATCTGATTTTGCTCCTTGAAAAATCAGAAACAATTTTCAGAAGTAGACTCAAACACCCTTAACTAGCTATAATATCATGTATGAGGGTGTCTGGTATACTACGTCTAAATCTTTAATTCATACGAAATACATATTTTTGTTTAGTAATTGGTCTGCGTATACAAACTAACTAAAACACACGATTACATGTTTATAATAGTCACCTAAATACGACTCGTCGAGTCCACATTAATTACCAATAAACCATTTTATATCAGGGATGAAAATCCTAGATACGGTGCTCATCTCAATCCGTGTGGCTTCCCCATCGCTACATTCTTCAATTCTTTGCGGCTTTTGTCACCATGCCTCTCTTCATCGCCTCTTGTTCCAAGTCCATCTTTTCCGCTCCCACCCGAATTCCATATTTCTTCTTCTTCTTTCTTCTCTAATTTGTTTTTTCGTTTAAAATCGGATTTTTCTGCAGTGATTTTTCTGAATTTTGCAACAGTATGTTTTCATTGGAAATTCTGATTTAATTTTTTATTTCTAATTTATACGTTTTCAATAAATTTTCTGATTTCATTGCAAATTCTGGTTTTATAATTTCTGGATATTGACTTCTTATAATATTTAAGTTTATGGCAGTTACATGTAATATATACTAGCAATTATTTTCGCAAATTATATCGTGCAACCGGCATACCATGCACATGGTATGCCGGGTCTGTATTCTTCTCCGCGAGTCTGCCATCATCGTTTTTTCTCCTTCACCGTTCGTCCGTTCCCACGTACGCACAGACTACTCCATCCTCGATTGTCAGTCCTTTTCCTTTCCCACTTCCCAATCACTAGTTTTGGTTTGCAAACCGAGAAACGGCCAAATAGCCGTCACAGAGCATCGAGCCTAGAGCAATTCCTTTTTTGTTTGATGTATACGGAGATGGGAAAGCAAGCAAATTACACCACTTCAATTATAATTTTAGCCTATACTCCGTATTTTCTATTTAATTAACAAATGTTTATTTATTAATCAGTCTGCTGTTTGTTTGCTTTGTTGATATTATAGAGTTACATTTCATATACACTGGAATTACATTTCATTTTGGCTAAAGTTACATTTTGTAACGCGCGATTTACATTTCAATTTTTCTTAATAAGTTACTACCTTCGTCCCGCTATAATTGTCCCTTTTACCTTATCGGTTCGTCCCACTAAGATTGTCACATACCAAATTTGGTAAATTTTGTGTGGCTCTAAATCATTCTTACTTTATTCTTACTTTATCAATTCAATATCAACCACATAAACCACTTTTTATTAATTTGTGTGTCACTCCCTCTTGTCTCATTGTTAGCGGGACGGAGGGAGTACATCTTAATTACATTTGATTTACATTTGACATTATGCGAGTTACACAACAAAACAATGCGAGTTACACAACAAAATAAACCTATGTTATTCGATCAAAATGATTTTCTTGTTAAAAATCATTTTTAATGTACCTAATATTAAAAACAAAACATATACACTATTTATGTAAAATAATTGGACAACTAGACTCCTTCTTTTCATTAAACATGAGTTTATTTATGGGCACAAGTTACATTAGTTGTTAAGTGAAGTTACATTTGTAACAACACGAGTTACATCTAATTATGCACAAATTGCATCATTCATGCTATTGGGATGGAAAAAAAACAGTTACTGTACACGCGTGTACTGTTCACGCATGTACTGTTCATGTGATTTTTTTTTCTAAAAATAATTGTGCGAAACTACGCCATTTTGAGTGTGGGAGCACGGTGCTCCGGGTAGGGTGATACCACGACATACGAACTGATTATTTTATGATAGAAAACTTTTATTTTGACATCGATTAGAATGTATTGGTCAGTTTTACATACGAAAGATTTGAAGTTTATATTTCACAAAAACCTTGTTTTCTTCGAGTCTAATGATAGATACTATCAATATTTTGTTCGATCATTTTATGTTAAGATAGCGTAATTATTTCATTTTTAGGGAAAACTATCAATTTGATCCTCGTACTTAAAAAAACAAATCCATGAACTTTATTTGTAAAAAACGTGAATTGAGTACATTTGCATATCATTTGGCATGCCAGCAGGTCACCCGGCCCGCTGACGTGGCGCACATATGGCGGTCTACGTATGCACCACGTCATCAGTAAATTGCTGACTTGACTTCTACATGTGTGCCACATCACCAAAGTTATTGTTGATCGAACTGACACATGTGCCACATAAGCGGGTGACCCGCTGACATGACAAATGACCTGCAATTGGATTCAATTGAAAGTGTTTACAAAGTTCAGAAATTTAATTGATTTTTTAAAAGTACAAGGAACTAGTTGAATAAATTGACACTTTTGTCTTCAATTTTATGTTGTGAATAAAATGATTTTGTATACAGCAATGTGAAGTCTAATTGAAAGGCGGGGACGGCGTTTTTTTTCAAGAGGGTGGGCGGTTGCGGCGTCGCCATCAAAAGCAAGCTAGCGAATTAATAATTAGCTAGGTACTAACCTTGATCTTGAGCAGCGAAATGGCCATTTTCCTTGAGCAAGTCCAAGTGATAGTACAGACACAACACCAGGGCCGGCTCGGTCCAAAACGAAACATTAACCAGGTCGTACTTCCCGGCGATCACGGACGTCCAGGTGAAGAAGGTGTCGGCGATCAAACACGTGACCGGAGGGTCGGCGGAGCGGGCGAGGTCCCCGACCACCTCATCCACGTGCGCCGAGAACACGTGCAGAAGACCCTCCTTGAACTGGTCGTGGTTCAACGACCGGTCAAACCCCAACGGGAACCCGTCCGAAACCGTCACGTACCGGATATCCAGCCCGGATCTTCGCCCGATGGAGACCAGGTCCCCGCCGCCGTCTTCATGATGGGACTTGGAGATTTGGGAGTGGACGTGCTGGGTGTTGACGAAGGTCACGGTGAAACCGGCGGTGGAGGCCAGTTTGATGGCGAGGTACACGAAGGGGGTGACGTGGCCTTGGTATGGGTATGGAATCATTACGGCGTGAGGACGACCACCGCGTCTTTCCTGCCCATCATCACCTCCCATTGCCGTGCGCCGCCACATTCTAACATACCTAGCTCTGTGCCTCTGTCATTTATTTACTTATATATACATGTGTGTACCGAGGGCATGAGTTTGATATTACGGATTATTAAATTAAAGGTGACAACTCCGGTACCTTTCTAAAAAATGGGGTACCGTCTCTACCATTCATTTGATTAGATCACGCCACTTTATCATTTTTAATTTAGATTTAAATAATTCAACTGCTACATTCTCATTGATCAATGTGGACAAAGGTATGATACCTTATGGGTACCATAGAATCTACCTAAATTAAATTCCCCTTTTCATCTAATACTTTTGTTTCTTAAATTTTGTAATTTGTTTATATTAGAACTATTATCCTGACTTCAAAACAAATCAAAGACATCCAAAGAATGGATGAATCTAAAAGGCCAAACAATGAGCAAAGTGACAAGATCAATTGAACATCAAAATCAAATATGGGGAAACATTTGATTGTGGCTGAATATTTGGGAAAAGATTGGCTCATACCCGATCGGATAGACCGATATAACCAATCGGGTACATGACCCTGCCACCTTCAAACATTTGTAAATACACTCATTTTTCTTCACAGTCAGGGGAGCAATTAACATATAATCTCAAGCTTAGTTTAGTTAAATGTTCTTATTATATTTTCTAGCTAGCATGATTCTTCTTCAAATGAGGAGCTAAACTCTCCCATCTTGATTTTGCTACATTGAAACTTATGATTTGTAAGTTGTGAGTTATTTTCTTTAATCATCTTCCTTGAATATTAATTACATTCATATTTTTTATCTCATATTAATATTTGAGCATTACGTAACGGGTCAACTAGTTTTGTTTTTCATATGTTAATTATTAATAGAATTGATCAACAGATACGTTTGTTATTCGCTCGGTCCCTTCAACGGTAGTAAACTTAAATTATTAATGCATGTGTCTCATAGTTAATAATCTAAGGAGGGTTAATTATATGGATTAAAACAATAAACCTCTTGTGTTGGGGTTGTCAATCTCAGTCGATTTCATCTTATATTTTATTGCTACCATTGGTTCAATATATTGTACGTGTTCTATGTTGACTTGATAATAAGTTTTATTAATAATGAATGTGTTTTATTATTAATAACTACCCTCGATGAATTGGAAATACTTCACGATTGAGTATCGAGAGGAAAATAGTTAAAGATATAATCGGGGTCGACGAACATTTCACTAAATGGATATAAGCAAAACTAAGTCTTCATCTCTATTAAATTAAAGGGGAAAATAATAAAAATACCCCAAACATTGAAGGGGTATGAGGTAAACACCCCAAACTTGCATATGTAATGTAAATACTCCAAATTTCATATAAAAAGTTATTTTCGCAACATTGTCATTTATTATTTCTTTCAAAATTGTAAATTTATGAAGTTAATTGCATAATTTAGTATAGGAAATTAAAAGTGTTGTAATTATATAGATTGGGGGTAACATTATTATTTCCCAAAGGAAGTTTAGAATGTTAATTGTGTCTTCATGGATTCTAAAATATTTTAAATTATGCAATTAACACCATAAATTTACATTTTAAAAAGAAATAGTACTTGAATATGGTTCTAAAAAATATTTGTATATAAAGTTTGGGTATTTAAATTACATATGCAAATTTGGGGTGTTCATCTCACACCCTTTCAAAGTTTGAGGTATTTTAAATATTTTTCCCTAAATTAAACCACATAAGTCATTCATCTTAGTGTTTAAATATTCTTAAAGCTTCAAACAATCTTAAAAAACCCTTTTGTTACTATTTAATAAAAGATAAATATTCTTTTGTTTGTGGATACGATCTTCACTACACTATACTACAGTATTAGTGCAAGTATTGAATATTATTTTGAGGCACACACCGACTTTAGTGTCGTCACAGTTCATACAGCTCCGGATGTGAACCCCTTGCGGAATTTTGTGAGATTATTCTATTAAGTGTTGATTATGTCCACAAAATTTCATTTTAAAATTCAATGGGAAAGTCAATTAAACAAAGGGGAAAATATGTATATATTACTAAAGCATAAACCTATTCCCAAACTATGACTCAAAAAATAGAAAAAATGAGCAATATGACCAATAAGGATGTTTTCTTTTCAACTATTTTCAATCCCGGATCAGACCAAACCAGACCAGATCAGACCAAACCAGACCAGATCAGACCAAACAAAACTTTCATAGTTATAAAATACACAAAGACCGGACATTTACCATACTAAACCAGACCAGACCAAATCAGACCATCAAATTTCAGTCCAAAAGAAAACATCCTACGTACCAGATGGGATCATGGGATGATGCGGAACATTAAAGCCATACTAAAAGTTCATTAATATTCAAAGGAAAGGAAAGTCTGGTAATCTACTTCATGGTAGCTTGCGCTTTCTGGAAAATCTGGTAATTTACCTCATGGTATTCAATTTCTCTTATTCTTTTAAGAAGAGAAATATTTCCAGCTTCCAGTCGATCTATGTCTGCAATGAGAACTCCTAATTTAGTCTCAATTTCCTTTTTCACATCAGAGATTTCGACCTTCAGCTTATTATTTTCTTTTTAACAGCAGAATAGGTGGTCTGGATGGACCTAAACTTTTCCAATAAAGATGACAGTATTGAGCTGTAAAGAATGTGCTCACCGAAGAAAAACTAGAAGTAGAAGCAGATGATACCTCATCATCAGAATGTGTCATCAAACATATGCCTTATGTTTCTAAGTAGATGTAGCAAAAGGTTTCATCCTTCTCTGTTTTTTTGGTCACAAGTGCCTTTCTTCTTATGGCATTGTGATCATACTTCTTGTCACCTTCTTATCCTTGCCTCTTGGACACTATTGGATGTGGACTGTTGATTTTGAAGTGTCTGGGTTGGCGACAGTTGTAACAGAGAAACTCGCCATTTCCTTCAAAAGCCGTTTGGTTCTGAGAAGGTCTTCTGCTTAAAGATGGACTTCTGCTGTCATTTGGTTTCTTTATGAACTTCTTGAACTTTTTGGCAAAGACAACCATATATTTGTCAAATAATAATACAGAAGGGTCATATCGTTTACCTTTGAGGTGCTTGTAGTCAGAGCAACTGTTCTCTTTTCTGGGTCTTCTTCTTTTTCCCCCTTCATTTCAAACTCATAAGATTTGAGATCTAAAATGAGCTTTTATGTTTTGTAGGTTTTGAGGTCTTTGTTATGTCTCATAGTTGCGACTTTCATCTTCCAAGGTGAGGGAAGACCTCTCATGTTGATTTCCTTGGGAATCAACTCTTTTCATAGCTTAGAGATTTTTGCTATGAGCTTGAGCGACGCGCAAGCATTTCTGCTATGCCTTCATTTGCTAGAAGCTTGAAGCCTTCAAACTTCTTTATTGTCATTGTCAGTTTGTTGTCCTTTTCTTGTTCATCTCCTGCACCTATGATAATAAGGGGTTCCCATATTTCCTTGGCAGTGATGCGCTTTTTGATTTTGGTGAAGTCGCAATCATCTGTGGCTTTGTAACGAATGTCTTTGGCAATGTTGTCAAGGTTGTACTTCTTTCCTTCATCAACAGTCCGTTCTGAATGTGGCTTGCTGATCATTTGTGGTTTTGATCCTCCTGGTACATAGGCAGAGTTGACTTTCGTGACTTCAACTAGTTCGGTTGATAGAACTTCCCACATCTCGTCATGTAGGGCACATAGATGTGCTTGCATCCAGATTCTTCAGTCATCAAACTTTTGGACTGAGAGCATCAGATTCTTAGAAGGTGTGTTATCCATGACATAGATAAAGAAATATCAAAGACAGTAAACAAATGGATCTTCGTTTGAAGGGTAACCAAGAGATTATTAGAACAAGGAAGCTCTGATACCACTTGTTGGTCCCGGTTTAACAGAGAAACTGTCCAGGGGGTGAATAGATTGTTCTTGGTTTCTGTTTTCTTACAAGACAGAAACGCCTATCTCACAGAGTTGGTGTTGTTCTGGACAGAACAGTGCTGCAACAGAATGGTAGTTATGGTCGAATAGCCTTACAGAGACACACCAAGGCAGAATGCCTTTTTGTAACTCTTAGAGAAACATATGTTGAACATAAAGTCCAAGCTATCTAGAGTAAAAAAGTCCAAGTCCTAGAAGTAAGAAGTAAAAAGCAATAAGTAAATGACACCAAAGATTTTTTATAGTGATTCAAGGAACAACTCGTTCTTCTAGCCCACTGTTCCACTAAGCTTATAAAAACTCATTACAACACTTATACCCTAGTACTTAAGAAGCTCTCCTCATCTTCTTCAATTGTAGTATCCTTGTCACTCAGGATGCATTTCATTGCTTCCCGGTGACTGTTCTTTTCACTGAACTTGCTTGAAGTATCCCCACTTCACTCGGGGTACTTTGGCGCCCTTCTTTTGCAAGAAGAATATATATTTTGAAAGATTCAAAGGTTTTTCTCCAATGTGCTCCGTACAAGATGTATAGATGTAGATTTCGGAGAGGATGAAGAACAAGGATGAATGATTTGAAATAGTATCTCCACGCTCTCGTTTTGAATTCTTGCGTAGAATGTTTAGTATTTTTCTCTCAAGAATTTGTTTGTTGTTTTTCAAAGTTCGTTATTGTCCATTTCTTCTAAGTGTATCTTTTACACTGATAGTAGTCTTCCCGTTGGAGTGTAGAAGACAACTTCATCAAATGCTTGTCATGTAGTCTTGACCGGTCAGTTCTCATATTCCCGTCAACTTACTATTTCGGAAGTATTAAATACTATTCTCTTGGATACCGCGGTCAATCATGCGCCATAAATTTCTCAACAGATGGATACCATTAAATGAGAATTTAATGCGTTGCACAATATTTATTCCGCCAAGAGGCTCCTTGTCGTTAGGGAATAATCTGTTAGTTTCACGGAACTCCAAAGACTCAAACAATTCTGTCGGGGAGCACATCTGTAACGCTTCTGTTGTAGCCTGTTCTGTTGGTGTTCTCTTCAAAGATAGTTCTGTACAAGAACCAGAGGAATTTTAACACAAAGGTCTTAGTAATTCTGTCCGAAGAGATAGAGCATCTC